TGCTGATAGCAGAGAGCCTGATGCGGGGCTTGAACTCAAGAACCCCGAGATCATGACCTGAGCTGAAATTGGATGCTTAACTGACTAAGCCACTAAGGCGACCTGAGAGACTAATTTTTCATATTAAGATTTTGTCTTTCTCTCACCTTCCCCCTAAATGCGCGCGCACACACACACACACACACACAGCATTATAAATGAAAACTGCTTTCTTCTCTAAGTGTTGTTATTATTAATCTTCTTATACATTATAACTATGATCATATATGGACTTGTTTCTGAATTTAGAATTAAAATATATTCTGAAAGGAAATAAAATTGTTACTAGCAAAAATATCAGCCTTTTAGGCAGCAGTCTATTAAATAATTTGCACTATCTTATGTTAAACTAGGAAATATATTGTAATTATTTAGTGATAATGTAATTTACATTTATGTTGGTACATGTTTGGAAAAGTATATATTCTTCCCTGCGGCCAACAGGCCCTTTTCTCAAAATTCTTCATACATTTGATGAAGAATTAGGTAAACATTAGTTTATTCAAATATCTCTTTATACAAAAGCCAGAGTAGTCCTTACCAATGAAACATTCTGCTGAAACACATTTTTTATCTAATTGTCTATATTAAGTTTTGCATGTCTCCTTTCCAAATAAAGCCTGTTCTACTTATCTCTTTTTTATCATGTTTAAATTTTATCAGAATTTAAGAATAAAGTGACTTTATTGTTTTTCTTTAACATCTCTACATGTTCTCCAGTGCCAGATCTGACTACCTATAATGATGAATATAGCCATAAGAGCTAATTTATAAAGCCTTTTTACATTGATATAAACATTTGATAAGAATTGTCTTCAGACAGATTATATTCATAGTTATAAAGAATTTAAGCTATATAATAATGCTGAATGAACACAAATCTATTTTTATAAATGTAAAATTTTAAAGTATCTCATACTTATTAAAAATCACAGAAGAACATTAAAAGGAAAAAAAGTAAAATGAGTTTAAGTAACTCACAGATAACCACTTTTAAAGTTTCTGCCAAACTGGTGTCATAATGAATTTATACTTTTTAAGGCCTTTTCCCCCTGATATTCTATCCTGAAAATTTCCTCTATGAACAAATATTAAAACATGATTTTAATGGATGAATAGTATTTTTTAATTTTTTTAATGTTTATTTATTTTAGAGAGAGAGAGACAGCACATGAGTGGGGGAGGGCCAGAGAGAAGGAGACATAAAATCTGAAGCAGGCTCCAGGCTCTGAGCTGTCAGCATAGAGCCTGATGCGAGGCTCAAACTCACGAACGGTGAGATCTTGACCTTAGCCAAAATTGGATACTTAATGAACTGAGCCACCTAGGCTCCCCATGATAAATGATATTTCTTTACATGAATTTTCTACCATGTATCTATTCTATCCCCTTTTATCATGTGATGACATTATTTCCAGTTTTTCATAATTTAAGCAAAGCACCTTATTTGATAAATATTTTTTCCATGCAATTTTGTATAGTCTGTAATTACGTCCATGGAACAGATTTTTTTTTAAAAATTTCTATATTAGAAAGTATGCATATTTGAAAAATTTTAATATATGTATTACCAAAATTTTCTCCAGAAAGTTTATGTTGATTTAATCATATAATACATGTGTATTTTAACTTTCTTATACCCACTGTCTCAACTGAACCAACAGCAAAAGATGGTACACTCAAATTTGGATAATTCAAGAATACTCTCTTTACAAAGATGATGGTGGAATGCTGGTAAAAATACAAAAGATAATGCAGTAAATTATGAATACTAGCTCTTGTCCTGTTGCCATCCAAAGGCCAAAAGAGATGAGGGAGGAATAAGTTACCAGAACATGGAAAAAGAGAAGCAGGTAGAGAAAGCCATCTTGAGAGGAACAGTGACCTTTGGTCAACATACATAGCCAGGCCAAGGTGACTTCTCAAGTAGAGAATCAGGGGAATAAATTTGCTGGCCTCACTCTCCTGTAGTCTTTACTCACTTAAAAACTGGAGGAGCTGGGTCTGGCTTGATGGAGTCCAGATGGGTTACCTACCAGAGCAGAGAGCAAAGTAGAAACCAGTGGATAGTGAATCTGGAGAGGCAAACAGAAGATATTGAGAACACTTACCTCCTTTTTGCACTTCTGATTGTGAATACATTTTTATATTTCTGAAATTAGTGAGGTAAACTTTTTTTGTTACTACCTATTTGTATTTCTTTGGTCTATATATGTATATATCTCTGCTCATTTTTTTAAAAAGCAGATTTTTGTTCTTATTGATTTATTGACTAAAATAGCTCTTAATATATTAAGGGCATATTAATTTTCTATTTTTTACATATATCATTCATCTTTAAGAACTCAACCTTTGATATATACTTATAACTATTTCTCATCATCAGTACTTTTCTCATCCTATTGTGATTTCACCTTATACATAATTATTTGTTCTACCTATTAATCATTTTGCTATATAGTGTAAGATAGAAACATAGCTTTATTTCCATCCAGTTACTAAGCTATGCCGACGCTGTGTCCTAAATAATACATCCTTGCCCAGTGATTGACATGGCATCCTATTCTTTTAGCAAATACTTATGTGTATTTGAGCCTCTTTCTTTTATCCTATTATGTCCTATTAATCTTTTTGTCTATTCTGGTGCAGTACCATACTGTTAATTTTGTACAATTTTAATATATAACAATATATTTTATTATTTTTAAATATTTTCTTGAAATTCTCACCTACTTGGTCTGTCAAATGAATTTTAGAATTTACATTCCAAAATTGAAAAAAAAAAGATCCTTTTTAGGAGTACGATAAAATTGTCATATATTAATACATGCTCTGAACAAAAATAAAGGTCTTATAATATTGACTGTTTCCGGATAGCATCTTATATCTGTCCATTTTTTCAAAAAAAATTTTAATGTTTTATTTACTTCTGAGAGAGAGAGACAGCGTGAGCAGGGGAGGGTCAAAACGGGAGGAATACACAGAATCTGAAGCAGGCTCCAGGCTCTGAGCTAGCTGTCAGCACAGAGCCCTACGCGGGCCTTGAACCCATGAACCGTGAGATCATGACCTGAGCCGAAGGCGGGCGCTCAACTGACTGACCCACCCAGGCGCCCCCATTTTTTCAAATGCCCACCATGAAACTTTCATTTTCTTTAAATGTGACCTACTTATTTCTAAATGTTTAATTTTGGAGAAATATTTTGATATTGTGAATGAAAACTTTTGCTCATTGTGTTTTCTGACTCACTTCTGCTGCCATATAATGATTTTGTGATGTGTATGTTGTAACTAAAATCTTACCAAACTCTTACCAATTTTACTGGAGTTTCCTTTAATTATTCCAGTTTCTAAGAAGACTATTACATCATCTAAAAATAAAAATAATTTATTTCTTCTTTTCCAGTATTCAAACCCCTTATTTATTTTTCTTAGTGTCTCAATAGCAACTTGCATAAAAAAAAATAATAAGGCTGATAGCTATATTTTAATAAGTCTGCCTCTGTGGTTCCTCATTAAATAGAATGTCAAATATTTGAAATAAAGAACATCTTTCATCACCTAATTAACATTCTTTCTGATACATATTTACCATGAGTTTCTCTTTTCCTAAAATTGAGAACAAACGCTGTGTTTTATCACATATAGCTTTATGTCAATTATAGTGATGTTATGTACTTGGTGTCCTTTGACTAATTGAAGGTGATGGATTATTTAAAAATTTTTTGTAACATTGAGCCATCCTTACTAGAATATGCCCCTACTTGGTTATAGTATGTCATTCTTTCAAGTTGGTGCTGCATTCAGTTTTATAGTTTTGAGATTAAAAAGTAAATATTCATAAGAAGTAGTGTGTGTGTGTGCGTGTGTGTGTGTGTGTACACTTAGTGCCATCTTTGTCAGATTTAAGTATTAGTTTAAGGTAGCTTCATAAAATGCCCTGGGGCACTTCAATGTTTCTTTGCCTTGGAACAGTTATTATATGGATTCCCTTTGAGAATGAGACAGAATTCTTTGAGAGAAAAATGTGTTTGGCACCTTTTACTCCCTCTTTATAGATGAACAAATTGGCAGAGAGATTATATATCACACCCAAATTCATACACTGATAAATAAAATGGCTAAGATTTGAATACAGATAATCTGTTGCCAAAGTCTGTGGTCTCCTCCCTGTAGACAGATTAATTCATAAAGGGCTTTCAATGCTGTACTAAGGAATGTTGACTTCAATCTATCAGTGTCTAGAAGCCACTGAGGTATTTTAATTATAAAAGTTATATTATCATATTTTTATTTTTAACTCAGATCATATTTGGAAGATGGATTAGAAGGAATGACTTTAGGTGAACAGGGAAGCAGAGAAAAAGGGAGAGAGAGAGAGAGAAAGAAAGAAGCAAACAACTTCCATAGTCCATGTAAGAGATAATGAAGCCTTGAGATAGAGCAGTGAATCAGGGAACATACTTAAGAGTATTTTTGGTGGCACCTGGGGATATGTTAGATGGAAATGAGGAATAAGGAAGAACAAAGTGTCTATGATTATTTCCAGATTTCTGTCTTGATAACTAGGTTAAAGTTAGTGCCAGGATCCATCACAGGAAATATGGAAAGAGTGTTCTAGATACCAACCCTGTATTCTCAGAATTAAAATCCCTTCATAGTTACTTAAGAGCTCTTACGTATAAAATATGAGTGTATACTGTATGGTTGCTGGTTACTTACTCAATGTGAAGATACATGGACATATTCTCATTAAAAGTCTACTATTTCATACTCTCAGGTATCATCACAGAGTCATTTGCCCAGTAGTTTAATGCACACAGCAAACCTTGTTACCAGGCTTGGGTTTTCCCTTGCTTGGTTAGGATTATCACTAATATGTCTAGATTGCCATTTCAGAGAGCCCACTCTACTAAAAGGTGAATTTTTTTTTCAGTAACACTGCTAAATAAATGGAATCCACCTGCATTCAAAAGTGATCTTGGTTTGTCTGTCCTGCCCATTGGTAATTCAGGGAGAGCAGTTGCTGAAAGCACTTCCCCATGTTTGGACGGTCTGCTCCTGTCCCTTCCAAACTCTGGAGCTTTCCTACATTTCTCCCCACTACATTTTAGGTGCTTCTGGCACCTGTTGTGTTACCACATGCTCTCTGTGCCTGGCTCAATGTGGTTTCTGTGCAGCTTTAAAAAGGGAGAACAAGGGTGGGTCCTGTCTCAGTGCATGACTGAGTTGGTTATGGAGCCACAGCTGTGGTCTTCTGACACTGGTCTCTAATTTCAGCAGCCCTGTGTCCTGTTCTGCCCCTGCATTTGAGGTGATTACAGGCTGCTTATGGCCTGGTCATTGGTAATGCATGCGAAGGAAAAGTTGCAAAAGTTGCAGAAGTTCAGAGGTTCTAAAACAGGACAGCCGTAAGTGAGCAAGCATGAGGTAGATGGAGGGAGGCAGGCTTTCCGTGCATTTAGCTCCTAAGACCCAGATTTTTCCAGGGCTTTCCTGTCAATGAACATAGTGGTTTCTTGGACATGTAAGCAGTGCCAAGTGCTTCTTGTCCCCTATCGGAGAGGTGTGAGAGGTGTCCTCAGGGAGAATCTGAATCAGGAGGTCTCAGGTGGGTCTTCATGAACTGAGGTTCCATAAGAGGTGTCATCTTTTTTTTTTTTTTTAATGTTTTTATTTATTTCTGAGAGACAGAGAGACAGTCAGCAGGGGAGGGTCAGAGAGAGAAGGAGACACAGAATCTGAAACAGCCTCCAGGCTCTGAGCTAGCTGTCAGCACAGAGCCTGATGCAGGGCTCAAACCCACAAACTGTAAGACTATGACCTGAGCTGAAGTTGGACGCTCAACTGATGAGCCACCTAGGCGCCCCAAGAGGTGTCATCTTAACAGGCAGGCACTAGGCCGTGGGGCCCCAAGGTCAGCCTTAGATCCTCCATGGCCCTTGGGCTTCCTGATACTTCTCCCCAAGATTCTTTTGGTATTGTTTGTGGACACCAGAGGGGCAGAGAGTGGAGAAGGAGTCCGCACATGTAGCATCCCCAGAGTGCCTCCTGCTCTCCACTCAGAGCATCATGGATCAACTCTTCACAGAGGAGATCAGAGGGAAAGCACTGGTCCACTTCAGCTGGCTCTGAGTCTTGACAACGGTAACAGGAGAGTCCATAGACGGGGACGGCTTGTTCTGTGTCCCTCTGCTATACCTGGAATGTCTTCAAAGACCAAGAATTTTTCTCTTGAATTGAAGCTACTCTTCACATTTTCTCTCTACCTAAATATTCAAAAAACTATACAGTCTTGAAAAAAAAATTCTGACCCTAGGCTGACTATAAAATATTAATTTTTTTAAAGAAGTAGTTCTCAAGATGAATTGGCTTATGATATTTGGACATCTAAGCTTAATATACATTGTGTGTGTGTGTGTATAAAATTATTTGGCAGAAATAATAAACTAATAGATATTTCCAGAGTTGTTCTACAGTAATCTTAAATTCTTATTCAGTATCCATAAACAAAGTGCCATGAATTTGAAACCCAATCACACAGGAAAATGCCAAGCTCAATGACACTAAATGAGAAAAATTGTACAAAGAAGTTTTATTTTTATACCTATAAATGGAAATTGTACAGTGAATAGTAAAATGCGTGTAAATTATCTTAATAAAAGAAAAAACTAGATTCTATATTTATAATATTATAAGTGTTTTCTTTTTAAAGCAAAGTAATATGATTTGTCCTAATTTCCTAATCTCCTAATATTCATTTGCAGAGAAAGTTGCATGAGTCACATTAAAGTTCTTCACTGATTGACACTCACATAAGTTATGAATTTGTCAGTGATTCCTGTCTCCTTCTGCTTTAACCATTTCATGTAGCAATTGTTCTTTGAGACACTCCTTATATATGATACATTTGATTGGGACCAATGCCAAAGTCAAATCTTTCTTACATCAGTTCTTTGTGGAGAATACATTGGTCAAATTCTCTGTCAAATTCTCTTCTTCATCAGCCAGGGCACATCTTTTATTCAGACAGACCGTCATTTTGAAATGCTGCATTCATCACTAAATGACTAAAAGCAGAGAACTAGGGTAATCAAAAGTTCTTTATCTTCATAAATGTACAACTTCATGTGAAGGCTGGGAAGAATACCTATTGAGATTGCACTCTTAACAAAAAAGGAGATGGAAGCATTGATTGTATGGCTTGCTGATTTTAAAGCTCTTTTATCTTTCTGAAAGACTTTTAATTTCAGAATGTTTAAGTAGATTTAATTCAAAATATTAAAAAATTAAAATGTCTGGTGTCTTATTTTTTATTAAGAGATATAAACCCACAAAGCTTGGCAATTTCCATTTCTATTTCAAAGCTAATGGGAGAAAAATGTACTTTACCACTGAAGAATTCACGGCATAGTAAGGGAAACCCAAGGGATGAGAGCTAACATTGAAATTATAACTGAAAATAAGCCTCTCTTATTTTCTGATGGTCACCAGAGGGGAGGTAGGTGGGAGGGATGGGTGAAATAGGTGGTGGGCATTAAGGAGGGCACTTGTGATGAGCACTGGGTAATGTATGGAAGAGTTGAATTACTGTATTGTACACCTGAAACTAACTTTAAACTGTATGTTAATTAACTGGAATTTAAATAAAAACTTAAAAAAAGATTTTTTAAGAAGTTTATCTGGTAAGTGATCCATCCATATGCTCTATTCTCTCCTGCCTAGAAATTCTAAATTGGAAGTTCTAAATGTGGGAGAGACCACAATAGAATTGCAAGAAGAGAGAAAATGAGTAAATAATAGACTCAGCTTTGAAAACTTATTAAGCATATAAATAATTTTTTTTCTTTTCAATCCCTACGTTTCAATCAAGTGAATTTTGAAGGTTCTTAAATTCTTAAGTTATGTTAAATAAGTTTTCTAGAGTGACTACTAGTGCTCCTTATTTTTGTTGAATTGAGTCAAGTTGAATTACATCGCCTTTCATGGGGGAAAATCCCTCTCCCTACAAAATAACCTGGAAAACAATTGTAAATAGCTTAGAGTCTGAATCAGTCTTACACCATATAATAGTCACATAGGCCAAAAAACTAGTTTGATTTCTGGACTCTGATTTTACCTCCTTCACAATTAAGGTGCATTGTCAATTTTGTTTACTATCTAAGAAAGCATTATGTTGCTCTGCATTCCTCTCTGAGAATCTAATTTTACTCTACTATCCATAGGCAACATAAATTATGTTATAAAAGTCCAATATGTATATTAGAACCAGGTTCTTTAATTAGTATCTCTACTGAGTTACAATGCAATTTCTTATATTCCAAGAGTTTTAATTAATGTGATTCACAACTTGAAAAAAGTGAAAAAAGTGCTTACAGGAGCTGACTTCAAAGATACACAGTGCCCTCATAAGGAAAAATCTGCCTCACCTCTTTCTATCACATTTAAGCCAGGAGCTTGTAGTGAAGCAAAAGAATAATGCTTTTCTCTATGTGTGAGTAAGTAAACCTCAATAGTAAGAAATACAGTTACACAGTAGATCACTAATATGAGATACAGTTTCTTATACTATATGCTATAGTGATTGATATCAAGAGCCTAAAGATATTCTGTATTGGCTATAGTTTGTCTCTCTATAAAACTCTCAGTATTTGTATTATTTGTATTTTTTTTTTAGTCAAGAGAATCCATCCCATTAAATGACCTGAAGTCAGAAGTATCACCCCGGATTTCAGCAGAGGACCTGATTGACTTGTGTGAACTCACAGTGACAGGCCATTTCAAAACACCCACCAAGAAGACAAAGTCCAGTAAACCAAAGCTCCTGGTAGTTGACATCCGGAATAGTGAAGAGTATCCTTTACACTTGTGGTTTTAAAGGGTGGTACTGCCTTATTCATAATGTTTTCTTTCCATTTAAAAGAGTGTTTGGCAAAAACAATGAACATATTTGTGATTCCTCTGAACTGAAATAGCTAAGCAATTCTCAAACTAGATGCCAGAATAGATGTGCATAATACTTTATAACATTGCATGACCTTAAAACAGTGTCCAAACAACACCAGAGTATTGGGATTTTTTTTTTCCTGGTTTCGTTTCTCTAGTGTATATTGCTGTTCTTGGGGGCATTTGAATCCTTCTTGCTATAGATACAATTTTGGCAAAGGTGAAGAGTATTTAACTAGCATATTCATAACCTAGAAAGAGAGATTGCCAGATCTCAACACTGAACTTATATTTATTATAATTTTAAAAATATTTTCTTAGAGAACATATTAAAGTATTTTTTTACTGACATTTTGCTATTAAATGTACCATAACTTCTCCAGATTTTGCTTGGAATTAAAGTATGAACAGTTACAAAATAGTAACAGTTTAATCTTTCTCCTTATGTCTTCATCTGTCAGATTCTTGAAGCATGCCTTGATTCTCTGTACTAGAGAATCTAGGTAAATGGTTTTCAGACTTCTTTTTTAACAGGGTAACTCCCTTTTAAAATAAATTCTTTCTGGGGTGCCTGGGTGGCTCAGTTGGTTGAGTGTCTGATTTCAGCTCAGGTCATGATCTTGCTTGTGAGTTCGAGCCCCGCATCTGGCTCTGTGCTGACAGCTCAGAGCCTGGAGCCTGCTTCAGATTCTGTGTCTCCCTCTCTCTCTGCCTCTCTCTCTCTCTCTCTCTCTCTCCCTCTCTCTCTCTCAAAATAAATAAACATTTAAAAAATTTTTAAATAAATTCTTTCTTAGAAATTATATATATAAAATGAAAAAACTTTAAGTGATTTTTTCATGCATTAATGTTTATACCATTTACTAAGTATAAATGAGAGTTATATGAAAATGAGGGTTAACAGATTGGTGGTTTCTCATATGCTAAAATTGGCATATATGTTTTCATGTGCACATTTTCAATCACAATTTTTGAAATGAAATTTTAAAATTAAATTTAAACTGTTCATTTACAGAACTCTTGAAGCAATCCATAGAACCTTAGATTACTAAGAATACAGTTTCAGAGCCTGCTATTTCAAGTGATACAGCCCCATCTTTTTGTGAAAAATTAACAACTTTTTATTTTCTTTAAATTGTGAAAGACC